AAGAGACAGAAATATTTAATAAATAAATTTAAAAAATAAAAAAAAAAATAAAAAAAAAAAAGAAATTCCAACAGAGGTGTGGTGGCATTTGGGGCAACCGCAGACTGACAACAGGCAACTGGTTTGGCAGAGGAAGTGCCTGCTACAGGAAGGAGCACGGGAATCGAGCAGCAAGGCAAGGTCATAGCTGGCACCTGCTGGAGCAGGGCGTAGCTCAAAAGACAAGCAGCTAAACACACATCAAGATGAGCTGTGACCTCCAGATCTTCCCTCGCTGAACACAAAGTTTAGTCTACAAAGAGGATTAACTTCATGATTGGACCCAGCAATGGATGAGAACGAAGCCTTGAACTTCCCTAACAAGAGGATAAAATATAGTCTACCCAGCAGAATGTGGGCTCGCACCACGCCTGCAACTGTGACATCCCACGAAGGCCTTTGGCTGATCCACCAGCAAATGCACACTGAGAGGAAGGCAAATGCACAGAAGAAAAATAAAAAGTGCAAAGGCTTCAGGCTCCTAACAGCTAGAACACAAGGAGAGGGAGAGGCACACAAGATTCCATAAACACACACACACACACACACACACAAAGCCTGTCTGCTTGAGAGCTGTTGACACCAAATCAGAAAACAGGAAATACACTAAAGAAATTCAGAAAAGGGAAAGAACAAGAAATAAAGAACCTGAGAGTTGGATGAGAATACAGTTAAACTCTTCCAGAAAACAGAAAGATATGGAAAGCAGGAGGAAACCTGTAGAAATGGAGGCTTACACTGGAAGCCTGTCAACTTTAAAAAGCAAAAATACAGAGAAAATGAACAGAGAAAAGAAAATTCTGCAGAGACGGAAGTGTCTTCTCCAAGAAGAGATCAGAGTTTCTGGGTCATCTGTAAATGGCATGCACATGCTCCTCTGTTTTAATTCATTTAACGTCACAAAGAGAAGCCACACCATGACACCATGCAACCAGGTTCTCACATAGGTCTACTGGAAGAGGAGAGAGAACAAAGAAGGGGGAGGGGGACGGACCACACATATCAGTTCCTGGGGACAAGAGTGGTGGAGGAGAGAGAGAGAGAGAGAGAGAGAGAGAGAGAGAGAGAGAGAGAGAGAGAGAGAGAGAGAAACAGAGAAAGAGGGGAAAGTAGCAAATGTGCACAGGGGTGCTTTTAGTGGCAGCAGCTGAGGATATAACCTGTCGGGACCCCAAGGGCAGGCCCGTACAGATGCCTGAATACTAACAACATCACAATGAAATTCCTGAACCCAGGAAAAAAACCTTCTGGGTGGGGAGGGGAATGTGTATAAAAGTGTGTTTACAAAGGCTTGGGAGTCAGAAATGGCAAGGTACTCAACCCACCCGTGTAGAAGCTGCCTCTGAACCTCAGCCATCAGCAAAGCCTGCTTTCTGAGCTTGCGAAGATGCACACAAGACACATTTAACACAGCACATAAGCTGGGAAGGTAAGTTCCCAAGGGGTGAGGGTGAAGCTCAGGGCAGAGCAGGGGACCCTGGGTTCCAGTATCAGCATCAGGTGTGTGCAGACACACAACATGAGCAAACCCTGCCACCACAGCAGTGTGGACATGTCTCCTCTACCTGCTCCTCACCAAATTCTTCCCATGGGAAGGGCTCACACTGTTCAGACAGAGCCCAGATGCCCTGGGTTCCCTTCCTGCTTTCAGTGCCTGCCTTGGCCCAAGCAAGTGATTCATTTTCTCTAAGTACACACAGGACTAAAGGAAAACTACAGAAAAGAAACAGACCTATCTATTCATTGGCCCTATTATTAAAGAATTTCTGGAAGAGAAAGGTAGGAAAGGAGAATTTCAGGGGAGTTTTCTTATAAAACTTCAAAAACAATAGTGAAAAGTCAGCATGTTTCTGTTAGCAACAGTTTAATGACAAACTTGTGAAGTAAAAGCTTGCATTCACTGCCCAGTGTGGTAGCATATGCCTTTAATTCCAGCACCCAGGAGGCAAAGGCAGGCAGATCTCATGAGTTCGAGGCCTGTTTAGTTTACATGGTGAGTTCTAGAACAGCTAGAGTTACATAGTGAAACTCTCTGGATACTTACAGCATTACCTGAGTTCACTGCACTTACAAAGTTAGAGAAGTCTCTTACCTCAGTGCCCTGCCGGCAGTAGGACAGGACCGGAAGTCTGCCCTTGCTCCGGAAGTTGGAACTGCCCATGATCATTGGCGGGGTGGCTGTCTTTGGAACATACAGCTCTCTTGGGTAAGTCTCACAGACCTGGAAATATCAAATGAGAGTACTTAACTCCAACCGGAAACCGTGAGGACAGTGGAAGCAGATGGCTTACTGTAGATCTTGAGCTCTCCTCCATCCATCCATCCATCCATCCATCCATCCATCCATCCGTCCATCCACTTGCAGTCCCCAAGGCGCATGCCCAGCTCTACAGCAGACCTTCTGCTGTGGTCGCCCTCACTCTGTGCCCACATTCTCAGGAAGCTAAGCAGACCCTGGTGGAACACCCTGCTTTCCTCCCTCCTATGAACCCACTCATGCTTCCTGCCCATTCCAAAGTGTCAGCTCCCAATACCTAGAAACACATTTTACCTGCACCCCCAGTGACCACACTGTGATCACATTCTCCTAAGAACCAGAGAGGAAACAGTAACCAAGGAACAAAAGACCCACCCAAGAAAGACAAAACCAGACATCAGCACCTAGAATTACAATCACCCCAAAACTAAATGGCTAGATGTCAGAGTGAAAGCAACACTACCAGAAGGCTGTGAGTATTCCAACACCGATGAAGCACAAGAGAAAGACCTTGAAACAGTCTCTATGAATACAGTAGAAGTCTTCTAAGAGGAAATGAGTAAATCTCTTAAAGAAATCTATGAACACACACACACACACACACACACACACACCACTAGAAATAAATAAATAAAACTGATCAAGACCTGATGGTGTAAATAGAATTAATAAGGAAAACCCAAACTTAGAGAAGTGTGGAAATGAAAAATTCAGGAATTCAAACAGGAACATCAGAGGCCAGCTGCAGCACCAGAATACAAGAGATGAAAGAGAGAATCTCAGACATTGAAAACATGGTAGAAGAAATGGATACATTGGTCAAAGAATATGTTAGCTAAAGAAACTCCTGCACAAAATATCTAGGAAACCTGGGACGCTATGAAAAGACCAAATTTAGGAACAGAAGAAGAAACCCAGATAAAGGGCACAGAAAATACTTTCAACAACATCCTGGAAGAAAATTTCCCTCACCTAAAGGAATGCCTATCAAAGCACAAGAAGCCTACAGGACAGCAAACAGACTAGACTAGAACAGAAGGTCCCCTCAGCATACATTAATCAAACCACTAAATATACAGAACAAAGAAAGAATATTAAAAACTGCAAGGGAAAAAGAGCAAGTAACACATAAAGGCAGATCTATTAGAATTACATCTGACTTCTCAATGAAGATTCTAAAGCTACTAGAACCTGGACAGATGAGCTGCAGACTCTAAGAGACCACAGATGCAAGCCCAGACTATTATACCCAGCAAAGCTTTAAGTCACCATAGATGGAGAAAATTAGACATTTCATGATAAAACCAAATATAAGCAATATTTATCTATAAATCCACTCATACTAAAGGTGCTAAAAGGAAAACTCTAACCTAAAGAGGCTAACCATACCCAAGAAGACACAGGAATAAATAATCCCAGACTAGCAAAATCAAGAGGGGAAGTACGCACATGCTTACAATCACACATGCATGTCTAAGCATGCATGTATATGTGTGTGCGCACACACACACAAAAGCACCATCCCCACCACCACCATTAAAATGGCAGGAAACAAAAATCATTGGTCACTGATATCTCTCAATATCAAAGGTCTCACTTCCCCAATAAAAATACACAGACTAACAGAATGGATGGGAAAACAGGATCCATTCTTCTGCTGCATCCAAGAAACACACCTCAACATCAAGGATCTATCACCTCAGTAAGGGAAAAAAAAATAGAAAAAGATATTCCAAGCAAATAAACCTAAGAAGTAAGCAGTGTAGCCATCTTAATATCTGGCAAAATAGACTCCAAACCAAAACTAATCCGAAGAGAAAGGGAAGGACACTACATACTCATCAAAGGAAAATCCCACCAAGAGAACATTGCAATTATTAACATCTATGCACCAAACACAAGGGCACCTACGTCCATAAAAGAAAGACTATATCTTAAATCACATATTGACCCCCACACACTGAGAGTGGGAAACTTCAATATCCTACTCTTACAAGTAGACCGGTCATCCAGACAAAAACTGAACAGAGAAATGCCAGAGCTGATGGACACTATAAACCAAATGAACCTCACGGATATTTACAGAACATTTCATCCTCACACAAACAAACATGTCTTTTTCTTTGCATCTCAAATTTCTCTAAACTTGACCACATATTCCAACACAAAGCCAAGTCTCAACAATACAGGAAAATTGAAATAATACCTTGCATCCTATCTAAGCACCATGAATTAAAGCTGGATATCAATAACAGAAATAACTGAAAGCTTGCAAACTCATGAAAACTGAACAACTCATGACCTAATATGAGTCAAGAAAGAAATTAGACCTTCTAGAATTGAATGGAAATAATATACAATATACCCAAACTTATAGGTGTTGCACAATATTTGACCACACTATGAACCCCAAGATTATGTTATTTACTGGAAAAACCTTCCTCTAGCTGCAGTGTGGCCCAGCTCTAGTACACATCCTTAATCCAAGAGCTTTCTGCTTATGGTAAACAAAATTAAATAAAATCAATCATAGGTCAAGAGGCAGAGCAAACAACCAGTTGACAGGAAGTAGTCATAGAGAGTCAGAGGGAGTCAGGAAGACGGATAGATGCACAGGAAGTAGTAGGGAAGGACTTTGAGTTTGGCAGTCCTTTTTGGTTTGGGGCAACAGAGGAGGAAGGTCAGCTGGCTGCTTCCTCTGCCTTTCTAAGCTAGCAGGTTTTCACCCCATTGGCTCTTCAGTATTTATTGGTAAAACAGAAGGACAGAGACATAGTTAAAACAACATTCATCTCTCTAAATGGATGCGGCCAGGCGGTGGCTGCAGTGGCTCAGTCAGCAGCTGAGGCAGAGGTAAAGATCAGGTGTAGCAGCTGTGCCTCAGACATAAAACAACATATGGGACCCAATGAAGGAAGTTCTAATAAGAGGCAAGTTCATAGCACTGTCTACATAAAATACTGGCGAGATTAAAACATTAGACAAAAACCATGAGGCTAAGTTAAAAAAAAAATCCAGAAAACTTGAAGACATTTAAAGAAGTGACAGCAGCACACTGTTCAGAAGGCTGGAGCCCCGCTGCATGCTGCCCGCTGGAACTAGGTCTTGACCCGCCCCAGAGCTGGCTTACCTTGTACTCTCGGTTGGCATCGGACAGTTTCCAGTTCTCATTGGGCACGCCCATCCTCTCATATTCCTTAGCAAGGTCAATGACCTGCCAACCCTTCCGTCGTTCAGAATCATTTTGTTTGGGATTATAAGAGAATGCATAGAGATCTTCATATTTTGCTGTAAAACAATAAAAATCAATACAATGTAATTTATAAGGCAGTAGACTACAAACAAAACTAATTTCCAGGATTTTTCCCTATTTTTTTTCTTTAGAATTTTCAACAAAGAGGTGGCTAAGACATGTACATATCTGAATTTAATATTTTCTGAGTTCCATAAAACCAATGACTATAGTTAAAGGAATATGTATAGACCCAAGATTTATGTCATAGCAAAAAGTGTCATCAAAGTTAAATCTTCTATTGCATGCTTTTCTTTTTTCTTGAATATTAAATTTTTAAAACAAAAATAGACACATCTTACTCATCCTTTTCCCCAAATGCAATGGAAACAAAATACCGTAACAAAAAACTAGAAATGGCCAGGTGTAGTACCCGCCTAAAGCCCAGCATGCACAAGACCCAGGAGGACTCTGCTTGAGAGCAGCCTAGACAACACAGTGAGAGCACTTCTAAGAAGGACCGGGAAGGGTCAAACAGCAACTAACAGGATGGAGACGGCAGAGAATAGGAAACTGCATTACACATTGTCTCAATTACTCTAACGTGTATGGCTGTTCTGTTTGCACCTAAGTATGTGCAACACTTGTTCCTGGCACCTATGCAGGCCAGAAGAGGGCGTCGGATCCCCTGGAACTGGAATTACTGATGGTTGTGAACCATCTTGTGGGTGCTGGGAATCAAACTCAGGACTCTGGAGCAGCAGACAGTGCTCTTAACCACCAAATCATCTCCTCCAGCCCCAGAATCACCCATTCTTATAGGTCAGTAGAGACCCAAACCAGCAAGGCCATCGGCACATAGCTATCTCTGTTATATACCTTGATTCCACTAGGACAATGGAATGTATCAAGCTCTGTGTGCTCAGAGAGAACATGGACCTGCTCCTAAGTCATTCATGAGGGCCTCCATCTAAACTGAAATCCATGCTAACAAGTAATCCAAGTCATGCTGGGGACAGAAGTGTGGGGCCCACAGAAGGGGGTCTGCTCTACCTTGACTGGAGGTCAGAGAGCTTAAGCCTACTCTTACTCTTTCAAAGTCACTGAAAAGAAGTCTGACATAAGGAGCGGCTGCAAAAAGATATCCTGACCTAGGGTGTGGTTACTTGGTGTTTTGGATATTAAAATGGTCCATAGAGGTGGATCTGCTCTACCTTGACCAAAGGTCAGAGAATTTAAGCCTATTCCTTCAAGGATATGACAGAGATCTGAGGCAGGGAGTAGCAGCCTACAGAATGCTTGGTCTAACTGGTTATTACATATCCTGCCTAACAGAATACTTAAACTAAAGGATATAGTTGCTTGATATTTCAAGTACCAAAGCAAGAAATTGTTTCGTTTGTCCTTTGTGTCATGTTAAAGCAGTCTTTTGCCTTCTTCCCCGCCCACTTTCTGGATTGGAGTGTATAAGCATATGGAGAATAAATGCGGACGTATTCGGTATTCACTCGATAGCTCTCCTGGTACTATCCTATGTCTCTGCATTCCTTTTGTATCTCTGTCCTTCCTCCCTAATTTTTCTAATCCAGTCGCCCCTACCCTGGAAGGTACAAGCCCCGTCAAGGCTGGACCCCAACATAGAAGCCTTCAGAGCCCTAGGCCTGGGTAATGGTAAGATTCATTTTTAGGGCTTCTATCCTTCCCAGCCCTCCATCTACTAAGACAGGATTCACTCTTGTCTCTGATACATCTACCACCCTCGCCACTGCTGCTAGAGGACCATGACCTTCTGGGACTTTCCATTTAGTAATACTGCTTTCATTAATAGAGAACACCCACATTTAAAACACAAGAGAGCAGCTAGGGAGGTAGGCTGGTCAGTAAAGTGCTTTCTATGAAAACAAGAAGACCTGAGTTCAATCCCCAGCGTCCAGGTGAAAGGCCAAGTGTGATAGCACATGGCTAGAACCCCAGTGCTGGAAAGGTGGAGCTTGCAGCAAGCCAGCTTCACCTAGGCTGGCAAGTCCCGGGTCCCAAATGACTGTCTCAAACAACAAAGCGATGGCTCCTAAGTAAAGGCACTGGACCCTGGCCTACATACACACATGCACACATGTGCCGGCACATAGGCAAACACATGAAGTGCTAATATAATCTAATAATATAATCTAAAGTAACATCAGGCTGTACTATATAAAAGTCTTCCCTTAACATTGTTCCTTCATTGGACACCATTCTTACAGTTCAAAGCAATTGTTTCTGTTATTTCTAAACCACGGTGGAGTATTTCTAGACCACTGAGGGGGTTGACAGTACATACAACCTAATTATCATGTAACGATAAAATAATAGTACCTTAAAGTAGGCTGGAAACCCCATCTCAGTTGAGATTGAGAGCTTGGCTCTCTAAGAAGCACATACCTTGTTTTGACAGTTGCAGCAGAGAGTTATAGATATCATGGCAATCTCTTTCCCTGGGAACGATGAAATGCACAATCCTGAAGTTCTTGCACTGGATCACGAGTGGGCATCCAGAAGTGGTGAGAGCAAGCTTCTCCACAGAGGCAATATGGTGGTGTAGTATCTACGGCACAAACGAACACCGCGTCGTCATCAACACACAAAGCACTGAGGCATGCTCTTCTCCCGAGTGCATACATGTGAATGTTCCAATGACACCTCAAATGCTATGTGCTATCATACTTAACACATTTCAGTGACTTGATGCCTGAGCCAAGACTATGTTGTCATTTTTGCTAGTTTTTTTTCCATGTCAGTATATGCTGGCTGGATGAGGAGCTGGAGCACAGTTCAGCAGCAGAATGCCTGCCTGGCATATACAAGGTCCTGGTTTCCAGCCCAAGCACCTCAAAAACTATAATTAATTAATGTTTACCAAGTGTAGAAATAAAAAGGTCTCACTATAGACTATGTCTTGATGGCATTTTGAAAACGTAAGATCATCTCCACTGCTACTGACACTTTGTTTGCTACTAAGAAATTTTACTCTTTCTTAATACCATTCCTAGCCACTTAAAACATTTAAAGAAAAATTTCTGGAGAAGAGGTTTTCGGTTCCTGAACAATAAAAACTCAGTCACAGAAGAGCTCCAGCAGTTCTAAATGCACCTTAAAATGAAGCAAAGGGGCTGGAGAGATGGCTCAGTGGTTAAGAGCATTGCGTGCTCTTCCAAAGGTCCTGAGTTCAATTCCCAGCAACCACATGGTGGCTGACAACCATTTGAAATGAGATCTGATGCCCTCTTCTGGCCTGCAGGCAGACATACAGACAGAATATTGTATACATAATAAACAAAATGGCGCACGCCTTTAATCCCAGCACTTGGGAGGCAGAGGCAGGCGGATCTCTGTGAGTTCGAGACCAGCCTGGTCTACAAGAGCTAGTTCCAGGACAGGCTCCAAAACCACAGAGAAACCCTGTCTCGAAAACACCAAAAATAAATAAATAAATAAATAAAAATAGAAAAATAAACAAAATATTTAAAAAAAAAAAAAAAAAAGAAGCAAAGGCTGCAGCAGCAAACTCCACCCCGCTGAGTAGGCTTTGTTTTGTATCTGCTCGTCTTCAGTCGAAAGGTGAGGGACAGATGACTTAAGTATGGTTATATTATGCTAACATTACCAGTTATATTAACTGTACATATTAAACCTAAGGCAGACATGCAGAATAAGTAATCAAGGAAAGCTTGAAAGAGCCTTAATGAGATACCGTGTCCACGAAAACTGCACAAATGGCTCACACAGAGAGCTCACACTCGGGAACTAGCTCGATTAACATTTGCACAGAGTTGCTCATAACCATCTGACAGTGCCATCTCCACAGGGAACTAGGGACAAGAACCTATAAGATATATGACGTAGAGAGAATATTGTATCATTATTAGGATCCCAGCTAAGACCCCAGATCATTTCAGGAGAGTGGCAAAGGGGCCTGACATCATGTGAGTGTAAAAGAAAGCCTAAGTGTACAGAGAGAAAGAGGGCCCAGTGTCAGAACGGCTGCTTCTAGGACCACAGTGCTCCTGCTACACAGACCCCAGGAGAGACCAGCGGGCTACACTGCTACGACAGTGTAGGCAGGAGAGACAGAGGAGAGGGGGCAGCAGCATCTCTTCGCTGTCCCTCAATCTGCTAGCCCTTTATCTTACTGCACTCACACGTCAACGATGGCCAACTCTACAAGAGAAAACAAGAGCCTGCGTACTCTGAGCTGTACTGCAGGTGTGTGTGGTTCCCTGGGAGGCAGACACGACATCTCATCTCAGTTCTGCTGCTCAGAAAAGGCTAAGAACAGCTGGGATTTACTGAGCTGCTACTTTAACAGATGCTTTGCCTATTTTCTCTTATTTAACATTCACAAAAGTGTTCCATGATGAGTGATAGAAACTACGCCCTTCACTGAGAGGTGTCAAGCAGAAACACTCAGTCTGCCATTCCCTTCCCTTCTCTCCTTGCAATAATCCATCTTCACCAAGATACCAAAAATGTCAGGACAATGGTGGTGCACACCTTTAATCCTAGCACTCGGGAGACAAAGGCAGGCAGATCTCTGTGAGTTCCAGGCCAGCCTGGTCTACAGAGCAATTTCCAGGACAGGCTCCAAAGCTACACAGAAAAACCTTGTCTCTAAAAACCAAAAGGAAAAAAAAAGTCAGGAACCTGCATATATATTATTTACATAACTATTCTGCAATGTTTAGTTACTGTATTTAATTACTATACTTAAATATTTAACACTGTAAACATCATTCTGTAATATTTAGTTATTTCCTCCTTCTGAGGCTGACCACCAATGTCCATCTATCAAAGAATTGAAATCCAGCAATCAAAAGCCCCTTTGACCCTAAATAATAAATCTCCTAGTTGTAATATGGCATTAAAATGCTATAGAATATGCTATACAATCCATCTGATTATTAATGTGCACAAACATTACCTAGACTTCTAAAAAAACTAAAGGAAGAAAGAGGCATTTTTTACAGATGTAAAAAAAGTCTAATATTCTACACATTTCCATATTACAAATGACATAAATGACCTATAAAAGGGAGGTAGAAGTCACTTGAGAAGAAAAAATTTGATTGATCTGTGAGTGGCAGCACAGGCCTGTAATCCCAGCTATCCAGAAGATGACAGACTGCAAATTCAAGGGCAGCCTGGGCCATTTAGCAAGACCCTGTCTGAAAACAAAAGCAAAACTAACAAAAAAAAAATTGGTTAAGATAAATAACGAGTGATTAAACAGCCGTTAGCCCATTGTCACTGCGACGGTAGACAGTCCTGCCAAGGTCCACCTTACCCAGGTCTCTTTTTGCTGAGTGTCAATAAACAACAGATGTGTGGCCGTAAGATACAGGGTTCCCGTCAGTGACTTGTTGTTGGTACTAAACCGGTCAAGTAACTTCACTTGTTCAACCTAAGAAAGAAAAAGATGTTATTTTTCATTTCAAATATAATTATTTTTATTTCTGTTGCTGACCAAAACACTGACCAAAAGCAACATAGGGGAGAAACAGGTTTATTTGGCTTATAGTTCTAGGTCAAAGTCCACCACTGAGGGAAATCAGGGCAGAAACCTGAAGCAGAAGCCACGGAGAAACGCTGCTGGCTGGCTTGCTTGTGTGCTCCCAGGCTGACTTAGCTGGCTTGCTTACACAGCCCAATACCATCTGCCCAAGGAATGGTCCTGCCCACAGTGTGCTGGGCCCTTCTACATCAATTAACAATCAAGACTCAGAGACATGACCACAGAGCCATCTCATCCTGGCAATTCCTCCATGTGGATGACCCTACCCTGTGCAAAGTGGATAATCAGGCTCACCAGGACAGTAGCTGAAGTGCTCTAGTAGGCCTGAGCATGGCAAACAGGGCTCTGGCAGGCCTTGCCCTTCCCCGATTTCCTCTGCCTTGCTAAACTATTAGATTACATTTCTTTTTTTTTAATTTATTTATTTATTATGTACACAATATTATTCTGTCTGTGTGTATGTCCGAAGGCCAGAGGAGGGCACCAGACCTCACCACAGATGGCCGTGAGCCACCATGTGGTTGCCGGGAATTGAACTCAGGACCTTTGGAAGAGCAGGCAATGCTCTTAACCACTGAGCCATCTCTCCAGCCCTAGATTACATTTCTAAAGCTGGCCACCAAGGTCCATTCCCTTATTTGGCCACTTCCTTCTCCTGAGGCTGACCACCAAGGTCCAGCAATCAAAGTATTGAAATCCAGCAATCAAAAGTCCCCTTTGACTACCCTAATTAACATGTCCAATTAAAATTAACTAACTCATCCAAACACAGGGCTTCCCTGTTTAACTTTATAAACTGTCATTTACCTGTATCTGTCTCTTCTCTAACCACAGGCAGTTCTTTGTCCCTCTGGGACAAATATCCCTGCCCTTTTCCCCTTGCTCCCTCTTCTTCTATCTCCTGTCTTTGTCTCTTATTCCCTGTCCTCTGACTCTCTGAAGCAAATAAATCTCCTTTGTGCTGAGAGCTTAGTCTTGGGGTGTCTTGTCCCAACTCTGAGGTCCTTTCAGCAATATAAATGAAATTTTTCTAAGCCCAGAAACCGCACGCATCATTATGTTTTTTCCTCCTCTTTGTCCCCAAACACAATAAGTTAGTTGATTAATATTCAGGGTAAAATTTCATCTGTCCTTGGAAGAACACAAAAAAGTCACAAGCAACACAGATATTATTTAGATGCCAATGCAAACCAGGGAAGATTTTAAGAAACACCAACACTAATATACAAGAAGTGTGCATTGTGTGAGCAAAGTACTTTTCACATCTAAAAGCCCATTTTACTGTATGTGTTGCCAAAGAGTATCTATTGTGCAGCAGTTTCCTCCAAGATTGAAACATTCCCAGTCTCCTTAATCAAGAAAGTAAACAACTCAAAAGAGCGTCAGGAAGTCCCTGAAACTGACCAGATTCACTAAGCCCCTCCCTTCCAGAGTAAGCAATAAAGTTGCTGAGAGTCATTCTTTAGACAAGTCAAGCTACAAAGCAGACTCTGTGCCCAGATCCTCTGCCTGAAAGAAGTAGAGACTAGAAACCAGCTGAGCTGGCTCAAAAAGGTTTAGATCAACCAAACTGCTTAGAAGGGACACTCTCAGCTGGGCAGTGGTGGCACACACCTTTAATCCCAGCACTGAGAAGCTGAGACAGGCAGATCTCTATGAGCTTGAGGCCAGCCTAGTCTACAGAGCAACTACAGAGCAAGTTCCAGGACAGGCAAGGCTACACAGAGAAACCCTGTCTCAAAAACAAAAAACAAAAAACGGGTACTCTCCAACCTGCAGGTTGTGTAGTGTGTTCCAGGTACCAACTTTTATGTAGTGTGACCAGTGTTGGGATGGGCTTTTGGTGTGGGAGGTCCTTCTGTATATGTGTTACTTTTATTGGTTAATGAATAAAGAATCTGCCTTGGCCTGTGATAAGGTAGAATAGAACTAGGAGGGGAAAACTAAACTGAATGCTGGGAGAAAGAAGGCAGAGTCAAGAGATGCCATGTAGCCACTGCTGCGAACAGACATGCCAGAACTTTGCCAGTAAGCCACAGCCACATGGCAATACACAAATGAATAGAAATGGGTAAAATTAAGATGTAAGAGCTAGCCAATAAGAAGCTAGAGCGAATGAGCCAAGCAGTGATTTAATTAATACAGTTCCTGTGTGGTTATTTCAGGGCTGAGCAGCCAGGAACAAACAGCGGCCTTCCACTGTTTGTTTGGTGATGCAGCTGTCTTGGAGCCATGTATGATGTTGTGAGTAATCCTTCACTTACATTGCTGTAAGTAACTACAATAAAACTCATGGTTCACCAAGTTGAACTTCGGTGGTATCCTGTACTTTGGGCTGTTGTGGGCTCCCTATCTGAGCTGAGTAGAGATGTATGTAGTGTCTCCTCAGGAAGTTTTGTCACATGACACTATCCAATCATATACATTTCTAGAAGTATATGACTGGGCAAATTAAACCATGAAACCACTGTTTGCGAGCTCCAGCTTATGTTCTATATTCTCCCTGCTGCACAGACATGGCTGCTGTGCAGCCAGCTCTGGCTCTTGCTCTCCTATCCTCGACTCACCAATGCCCTACCACCAAAAGTAACTCTTACTTAGAAAGTTAATTTGTTACTTATATCACCTTGTCTCTTTGCTCAGTTCCCTAACACAAACTATCCTAAGTTGCATTGGCTTCCTATGGTATCCAGGATGCTGAGATCTACAATATGTTATACAGAAGTATAACAGCATTCATGTCTATTAATACTGGTGTAAACACACAAACACACACAGAACTGCTACAGGAGTGCAGAGTGGAACTGGGACTAGACAGGAGACTATAGCTTTAAAATTTAATGTCATCCATTTTATAGGAAAAACATATAAGTGTTTAATGTCCAGCTCTGTCACAGGAGGTTGTGTAGATCTTCGGACCAGAGAGCTCACCGTTCTATCATTAATTCTATACTTACCTGACATGTTTACTGTTCTCCTACCAGCTCAAGAATGATACACTCCCATTATGAAGTGGTTAATCAATAGCCACCACTCAGAAGGCTGATCATCTCACCCTTCTTCACTCTCTAGAATTTTCTTCCACGGAGAATGAGCACTTATAATACCACTGTTCAAATGAGTCAAAACTTCAATGTAATTAAAAATGTTTAATACAAGACTTTATTTGTGTGATTAAGACAATAAACTTATTGTGGATACTTCCCACTGGAAACTAAGAGATATAATCTAACATGCAACTCAGGTCTGACAGTGGATCTGACATATAACAAGTGATCATTTTACATAGACTCTTAAGAACACAGGAAAGCCAGGTGTGGCGGTGCCCTGGAGTGGCTGAGGAAGGAGGATCAGAGGTTTAAGACCAATGCATGGGGAGGAGGGTGGTAAGAAAGTTTTGTGCTCATGAAGATTTCTCCTAAAGGTCAACATTTCTTTAATTGTCTAGGCCATTTCTTTCTTAAGTAAAAAATATGTGTAGTGATATTTCATTTGTATTTTAATAAATAAAGCTTGCCTGGTGTTCAAAGAGTAAAACAGCTGCACTGATCAGTCTTACAGACCAGGCAGTGGTGACACACACCTTTAATCCCAGTAGCCACACGAGTTTGCCAAAGAAACCGGGTGGTAGTGATACACACCTTTAATCCCAGCACTAGAGAGAAATATAAAATGGGAGGAGACAGCTCTCAGGCCCAGTCTCATTCTGAGGTTCCTGGAGGCAGGATCGCCATTTCAGACTGAGGTAGAGGTAAGAGCCAGTGGCTGGCTGTTTTGCTCTTCTGACCTTCAAGCTGAACCCCAATTTCTGTCTCTGGGCTTTTATTAATCATGCTATCAATATGGCTTCATTTTATCACACTGAAAACTGAAACTTTAATTTATATACCTTTAAAGATAAACATTCCTCTCCAACTGTCAAGAGCTGGCTGAAAAGGAACAAAGCTAGCAACCAAGACCAGACCATGGTGGGCTCTCAGGGCAGGCTCTCTTACCTCACTTCCTTTCACAAGAGCGGTAGTGAACACGCATGGAGCTAAAAAGTATCAACACCACTGGGAAGATCAATGACTGGAGTACTTCAAAGAGTTCCTCAGAGAAAATAAAACAGGGTTTTAAAGGGTGTGGCTATGAGCAAACAGGAAGTCTGCTTTAAAAGGAAGCCCATGTGAAGCTAAAGACAGAAATGCTTCTCTAACTCCAGCCTTAAACTGTCATTTTATTTCCATATTCGGTGCAAATCGCAAAGCTTGTCTGTAGGGAAGACAATCCCAGTTTCCACTCCATTTTAACTACTGGTCCCTCGCAGCTCTGCATTCCAGTACAGACTAATACATCCTATGCTGTGCTGGCCTCCTGCAGTGCTGGAGACAGGGAAGGGCTGCATGTGTCTCTATGGAAACTAGTGCACATCAACAGCCAGTTTCAAATTGAGGGAAGAAGAAAGATAGGAAGCATCTTATTCACCCAGATGAAGATTACACCTACTATTCACTATTACTTTTTCTCCTTTCTGGAGGGTACGGGAATAGTTTTGCTACGTAGCCAAGGTTATATTGGACCTTTCCATCTTCTTGATGCAGACTCCTGAGACTTGGGATTGAGGCATTACAGGCACACCTTGCCTTAAGCAGCTAAGGGTCCATTCCCCATATGAATCTTATCCATTACCATTACATTACAATATATTATCACTACATCATTAGCAAATCAATCTATTTGCTAATGACTCCCCAAACTCTGACTGAACTCTCCGAGTTCTTACTGTTTGCTATACATGTAAAAATATTTCCTTGCCGGGCAGTGATGGCACACACCTTTAATTCCAGCACTCAGGAGGCAGACACAGGCAGATCTCTGTGAGTTTGAGGCCAGCCTGGTCTACAGAG